GAGTGGGGACACTGCCGGGGGCCTCACTGAGACCCCAAAACTGGGCAGCCCTCGTAGAGTAGATGATTCCCTGGGGGAGCAGGAGGTGATTCCTGGGGAGAGCAGGAGATGATCCATGGGAAGGGCAGGGAATGATCCCAGTGAAGGGCAGTAGATGATTCCCTGGGGGAGCAGGAGGTGATTCCTGGGGAGAGCAGGAGATGATCCATGGGAAGGGCAGGGAATGATCCCAGCAAAGAGCAGGAGATGATTCCTGTAAAGGGCAGGGAATGATTCCTGGGAAGGGCCAGAGATCATCCCTGTAAAGGGCAGGAGGTGATTCCTGAGAAGGGCAGGAGGTGATTCCATGGGAAGGGCAGGTGACAATTCCATGGGAAGGGCTGGAGATGATCCCTGTAAAGGGCAGGAGATTATTCCTGTAAAGGGCAGGAGGTGATTCCTGGGAAGGGCGGGTGATAATTCCTTACAAAGGGCAGGAAGTGATCCGTGGGAAGAGCAGGTGATAATTACATGGGAAGGGCAGGAGATGATTCCTGGGAAGGGCAGGGAATGATCCCAGCGAAGGGCAGGAGGTGATTCCATGGAAAGGGCAGGTGATAATTCCTTACAAAGAGCAGGAGATGATTCCTGGGACGGGCAGGAGGTGATTCCTGGGGGAGCAGATGATGATCCCCGGGAAGGACAGGAAATGATCCCCGGGAAGGGCAGGTGATCCCTGTGGGGAGCAGGTGATGATCCCCGGGAAGGGCAGGAAATGATTCCATGGGAAGGACAGGAGGTGATCCGTGGGAAGAGCAGGTGATAATTACATGGGGAAAGCAGGAGATGATCCCTGTAAAAGGCAGGAGATGATTCCATGGGAAGGACAGGAGGTGATTCCATGGGAAGGACAGGAGGTGATTCCATGGGAAGGACAGGAGGTGATTCCATGGGAAGGGCAGGAGGTGATTCCATGGGAAGGACAGGAGATGATCCATGGGAAGGACAGGAGATAATCCCCAGGGAAGGGC